TATTGCCCACACTTCTTACTTGTGACAGGTATGTCTAAATACAAATTAAAGGAGCATGACATGCTTGAAAAGCAATTATTTCTTACAATTTAGAGAGGGCACCAATAATTTAGGCCAGTAGATTTTTTTCTGAGAAGGGTTGCATTTTCTGACAGAATTGTAAGGGTGCCAATACTTTTGGCCATGACTGTATGTTGAATGTTTCCAGTCTGTGGGCCATTGTTTTTGTTTTCCATTATTGTTAGCACATACTGGTTAGGATTTTGATAGATTCAGTCTCTGTGGCTTGAAATAGTTCCATCTATATCCCATCTATTCCTGGTGATTTATTTCTTCCCAGTTCTTTCAGAGAAGCTTTCACTTTACTTTCTAGAATTGCATATTCTTCATCATAGGATTCTTCTTCAAATAAACCTATCATCCTTTTATCTCTTCTGTATAGGTCTCCAGCGTGATGTTGCCACCTTTTCCTTATTTTATCCTGGTCAGATAGTGTGCTTCCTTGTTTGTCTTTCAGCATCCCTAATCTAGGCTTAAATTTCCCTTTGATTTCTTAGGTCTTCTGGAAGAGATATGTTCTTTTTCCTCTTCTGTTGTTCTCTTCTATTTACTGTATTTGCACTGGCCATCGTAATAGTTCTCTTTGTCACTATGTGAAAATTGCTGAAAAGCTGAATTCAGGATTCTGACCCTATTTCTCACACCTTTTTCTTTTGCTTCTCAACTATCATTAGCAATTCTAAGTGTTTCTTCCATTGTCCATTAAGGCTTTTCTTTCCTTTTTTTCCATAGGAATTGCCTTCTTGCCTTCTTCCCTAATAACATTGCTGGTTTCAATCCACAGTTCTCCTGGCTCATGGTCAGTTGAGTTTCATTATACAAACCTGTTCTTTATGGGGACTTTAATTTCATCAAATTGTGGTGGAAAGAATAGGGCTTCTCCATCGCCTGATCCCAATTATGTAGTCTGTTTGATTTTTCTGTTGGACATCTAGTGATCTCCACATGTACTTGGTTGCTTGGAACATGTCTTCACAAGAAACAGTTTTCATTCTGTGTATTCTTGAAGTTTTCATTCTCCTGCTTTATATTTGACCCCCTAGCCTAAAATTTGGTTTTGCTTTGTTTCCTACATTTGTGTTCCAGTTGCTGTATGAACAATGTCCTCCTGAAAGCTTACATAAAAGATTTCAGTTTCATCTTCTTCAACATTTGTACTTGGAACATAGGCTTGAATTATGATAATATTGATAGGTTTTCCTTGAAGTCTGATGGATATTATTTGGTCAGACCTTTCATTATAATCCCTAATTGCTTGTACTACATTTTGCTTCATTATTAGAGGCACTCCATTTCTCTTAAGTTTGTCATTTCTGGAGTAAAACACTTTGTCTTACTGAGGTTTGTCATTTCCAGAGTAAAACACTTTGTCTTACTGAAAATGTCCTGTTCCAGTTCTCTTTAGTTCACTAACACCAAGCACTGCAATGTTGGTGGGATATAAATAAAATAAATAAAAATAAATAAAATAAATTACCTTGATTCATATTTCACACAAACCATGTTCCGATTGAATGTGCTGTGCAGCATCAGACTTTCCTTTTGCCTCTGTGCATATCAGCCACTAGCCATCCTTTTGGCTTAAATCTAGCCACATCATTAGCGACAGTGCTACTCATACTTGTCCCTTCCTCTTCCCCAGTAGCTGATGATGTGCTTTCCAACCTGGCAGTCTCATCTTCTGGCACTAATTTTTGTTTCCTTTTGGACTGCCTCATCATTGGGTTTTCATGGCAAGAAAGCATCAGTGTTTTACGATTGCCTTCTTCTGAGCAGTAATAACAAAAGTTATCTTGAGAGTCATTGCTGTTTTCTGTAAAAGAGCTTCTGCTGGGGTCATCATCTACCACTGCTGCCCTATAGCTGCCCTCCAGAAGTTTTGGCGACCCCCATCACCATTGGAACTATCCATTCTCTTCTCCTAATGCATCTGTTACTCCTGATGAGGGTGGGTGCATCTTCGTCTGTTGCCTCAGCTGTGAACGTCCCCCTTGGGTGTCCCTGCTAAGAGTTCAGGCTTGTACTCAATTCTGGCCTCTTGGTGGCATTTGCTTTCGACTTCTTGGAAACATTCAGACTCCCTCATCACATTAAGGTATGCATCCAATACAGGCCCTTGTTTCATACTTCAGGTTTTAGTCATTGTTCTAGGGCAAATCTTTGCCGACATATTTCCAGGCGGGACTGTCAAGCAGAATAAATCACATAATGACACAATATACTGTAGATAGCCTGCATCTGTAGTCTTTCTAAATTATCTGGAAAACTCTTAGAGAAATCGTATTTTCTTGCTGCGGGACCACCCTTCCTTATCCATAATAAACAGGAAGATCTTCTCTTTGAATTTCAGGGACCCAGCTGTAGCTGCAGGATTTCAGAGACCCAGTTATTGGCAATAGGAAAGAATCTAGCAGACATTCGGAAACCATAGGGACTGGTAGTCAAAGCCAAACGCTACCTGATAGATCGGGGTGTGTTTGTGAGAGGGGGGCATACTTCTGCAAGAGTTTCTGCTAAACATCACGTATCAACTTTGAAACCAAAGAACAGCTGAGTTTTCCCACTTCCCCAAGTGCAGAGTGACAATCAATCTGAGCTACAGCATCATCTTGAAACAGGGAAGTGAAAGCCTTCTTCCACTTTCCTCAGGTGAAATCAATCATAGTCCAGTCACATGCATGATACCCCCTGACTCCTCTAACTATTTCAGGACTACAGTATTGCCCTTATTTCTCCCTCTCCTGTTTTTTTTGGTTGAATTTCTTACAACACGTCAAATGATGAGTGTTCTACTGAAACACTTCAAACATTTTTAAATCCATTTAAATGCCGAGCCATGCACAAATTGGTGTACAAATCCCAATCGATGTGCTGCATTTCCTGTCTTGATATAGGAAATTGAGATCTGATTTTTGTGACAATTGACATAGGGGATTAATTTGTACTGTGTGGTGTAAAAACCACCACTTTCTTCTGATAGCAGAATGGAGAGGATAAGCACACTGACTACAAAAGGAGACGTGGAGCGTGGCCTTTTCTTGCCTGCTTTGCAGATCTTCAGCACCAGTGTAGATTTCCCATAAGAAACATGGCTGTACTCTTCCCTATTTTATTTATTATTTACGTATTTATTCATTACATTTACATCCCACCCATCTAGTGCTGGGGCACCATTCTGGGCAGTTAACAACGATTAAAATACCACAACTCAATACTACCCACGAAGATATAAACAGAGAACCAAGAAACATTGAAAACCCAAGGTATTCCCCCCCCCAAAAAAAAACCAGAAACCTGAGACAGTAAATCAACTCAAGACCAACTCAGTACATGGGAGGCCTCCTTCAGTTTTTGATATCAAATAAGCAGAGAAGAAGTCAGCTGAGAAGATAAGGTGTGTAGTGTACCTCTTGGAGTACTGCAATATGAAGAAAGTCATCCACTTTGACTCATGAGAATTTGGTTCCAAAATCTGAAGGACAGCATGGGTGAACTCGTATCCTGCTTAGGGTAACGGACATCTGACCAACATTTATGGAATTCATTACTGAATTAAAGGGAGACCTTAAAGCCACTGATTCCTTTAGGAACTGCAGCTGAAAGCTGAAGGCAATGATGTCAACATCGGCATATGGCGGTTCGTTTCATGGATGGAGTGCCGCCTCCTAAACTCTAGGAAGGCCTGTGGCATCATTTCCTGAAGGGCTGTCAGGAGACTGCCAGGTAGTATTTCACGCTGACCAAGGCTGCCATTCCAAACAAAGTAATTTTATAAACGAATTTATAATTGTGACAGATCAAGTGGGGTGGTGGTGCATGTGTTTGTGTTGCAAGGGCGGGGGCGGAACGACAGTTTCCTGAAAGCAGTTTCTACTGGGAAGCAAAGGTGATTATGAAAAGAAGAACCGCTAAGATTTGGAAAGAAAATATCTGGTTTTTAGGCAGACAGGTGATTCCGTTATCAGCACATTCGACTGCTAAGGGAGAAGGCTGACTGAATGCAGAAAGCATGGTTTCCTCATCCTCATCCATTTGCAGACTGTTGAAATACCGATTCTGATTAAATAGCCTCTTTTCAAGCATTTCGGCATGCTTCGTGCTTGCTTGGTCTTCCTCCTTTTCCTCCTTCTGGGCCCACACCTTCCCTGTGCTTTGTTCCAGCACCAGGGCTAAAACAAAGAGAGATGAGTCACCCCGAAGGAAGGCACAAGAGTTGAACAGTCATGTAGCTTTTCCATTAGAACACCGTCAAGGCAAATTCATGTCTTGAATAACTCGCCGCCTTTCTATGGCAAATTTGCTGGGAACCGTGATGTGCAGTACAAAAGGAAATAATAGCACCCAACAATGGCTCAGAAGAATGTTAGATTCACACAGAAAGCTGGGAGCTCTCTTTGTATTTGACTGTCTGAAGCTGAATTTACAGAGATAAATGGAAAAGGATTAGGCCTGGGGGGAAAAAACAAGGGCTCAACACACGCCCAAAGTCTTTTGAACTTGAGTCACACAGTCTCTCCCTGTGTGTGTGTGTTTTACACACATTGCTTTTTCCTATGCCTGGCTAAAGTCTGTCATTTGTTACACTTGAAATCAGAAGGAACGTACATGACTCCCTGACAATATGATAAGGAACAGGCAGTTACTATGTTGTGGCAGATCATCCTACCCACATATTTTGATTTGGGACATTTATCCTTCTGCACAACCTCTAGATGCTTGACAGAGGGAGGAAATCAGCGAATGGGAAAATGCAAACAGCTATGATTAGGGCTGGGGGTGAGTGGGTGGGATTACAGAGTGCCACTAGAATTATTTCTGGCAGAATGACTTGTCCACCTCCAGCCCAGAGAACCTAATAACATTCTGGCAGGGACACCACTGGACTGCTGAGAAAGGAGAAACCAGTGTCAGACAGGAGGGAGAGAAAGACTGACCTTAGCATCCTACAGTAAACATTCAAAACCAGCATCCAGGGATGTAGGCACGTTTTAGGAGCATAACTCAGTTTTTTGGGGGTGGGGACGATATAAAACCCAGAGAAGGTGCTAGACCAAATGAAGTTTGCACAATGGCTGAAAAGAAAAAAGAAAAGAAAAAATGCAGACAGTGGCTGTTATGCTCAGACCCTCACTGGAGCGAATGTGTATGAGAGGTCTTGGGCTTCCTTGGAAGAAGGAACTGTGGGTCACCTCTTTCAGCACTATCACGGTGTCTTCCTTATAAGCTACTACTGATAAGCTGGATTCTCTTTTCTACACTCTTAAGCATATGGTGTCTTTTTTATTTTAACATTTTTAATCCACACAAATGACAGATTGAATATAAAGGATCTGAAGGGGGGCACCTTGCTCTGTGACTGCCCGTGAGCTCTTTGCTCAGCCCTGTAGTCGCCTCAAAAACAGTCCTGATTCAGCCCATATTGACACATTTGCCCAAAGACATCATATATCCATACTATAAACATTCTGGCCTTTCAAGGCTTTTACCCAGCTGAATACATGAGGACCTGCATCCAATCACAAACTTTTTGTATAAACAGAAAGCTACCATTTGGCTTTCAGTTTCAATTTAGAGGGGAAAGAAAACCCAAGTCCAAACCATTTTGATATGCTTGTTTCATTAAAAAAAATCCATATTCAGGAAAGTTCACAAGCACAGGCAGCCTCATGTTTTGTCTACACTAGGAATTTATCAAGACTTAGTGTGGAGCTGAAGCAGATTGGGTCAGCAAACATGACCAAGGTGTAGCATCCAGATTGCAAAATAGCTGGGAAGGCCATTCATATAGAAAGCAGAAATCCTCAGAAATACTGATTGCAAGGGTTGATGTGACTGTGTAGAAGAAGGGCCTTTGTGCAGAGTCAAATCATAACAAGGTACAGAAATGTAACCAAACTTCTGAGTCAGCCCCAGATGTGACCTCGAACTAGCTGGTTTTTAAGAGCCCTGTACAAAACGGGATCAGTAAGCAGGGCAAGAGGTGTTCTCCCCAAAGCCCTGTTATAGCCAATTGCAATTTATTATCATCTACATACAGCGTGGTCTGATCCAGGTACATCACATTTTACAGGATAAAAGAGGCCTTTTTTCCCCTCAAGGGATATTCAGAGTAATTTGGAAGGAGAGGGAGAAAGAGGGAGGCTGCAAGGGAGTGTATGAAAGATGGCAAGGCTAACAAGGGGATAGCCATAGGGACAGGGGCTGTCCCACACCCTTTTAAGAAAACCTTTCCTAGGTAGACATGACCACCTGCTAGTGTTATGTTTTTTTGGGGGGGGGGTTGGTACAAAAGAAAAGCAAATGTGAATTCTGGCCTGTGTGTGTTGCCTTTCTGTTAGAAACTGGTTAAGGGGTGGGGAGCTAGTTGATTCTCCACTCTCAGCTCACTTCTGTAAGTCCCTTTCTCATTCTCACCCCATCTACCTCCCACAGGTTATAAAGCTTAGATGCTGAGATAACTATAGCGAATAAATGAACAGACAGTGTGGTGTAATGGTTAGTATGTTGTGCTGGAACTTGGGAAATCAAGGTGAATTTGGACTGGTCGTCCTTACTCAGGATGATCTACCTCACAGAGTTGCTGTGAGGATAACACAAAAATTGGAGAAAGGTTCAAGTGGCACAGAGATCTTTCCCATCCAGAGGTGCTCCAAGATCTCTTGCTGCCCCAGGACCAGAAGGGATGATGGTACATTGAACCCCCCCCCCCAAACCAGTTTATATTGATACAGGAGCCACAAACCTCCACAAGCACTCTTCCCTATTTCTGCTGGTAAAAATGTGATAGTAACATAGTAAATAACTGACAATGTGCTGCCTCTTTACGATACCCCAAATGTATTGCATGAGGGAGTGGCCTCACTCTGTCTTCCAGTTTCTTCTAAATACGTCCTTTTCTTGTGCTGCTCCCAGCCATTTCAGTGGAAATTGTCAGAGCACAACTAAAGTAACTCCTCTTTCCACTTGAATAGAGTAAGAGGGAAACTACATGATCAAATACCATGAGATTTGGTCTGATTATAAAACAAGTGAATTCATTTAAAAAAAAACTCTGAATGATGTATAAGGCTGATTTGAATTGGTCCAGTTGATTTGCTGCCACATTGCCTTTTTTTTTCCTCTGACTCTAGAGAGCTACATTTTCATGATGGGAGGATTCGATCAGAAGTTGCTCTCTCATCTAAATCTTTGGAAATCTTTCTATAGAAAAATAACATGGAAAAGGTACCTCATCATCTCAGAATACAGAACATCAAAAGTTTGAAGTAATTTTGCAAAATACATCATGATTCACAGCTCAGAATGATTCCATTCGGGATCACCTCCTTCTCACCAGTCATCCCACCTCTATCCCTTACGTTCAAATAATACGTGCAGGAAATTCTAATCACTAGTGACATAAACTAGTTTAAAGTAGCTTAAAACGATATGTCACCACAGATCAGTAATTCCTGCATGCATTATATGAAAGTAAAGGAGTAACTGAGGACTGGTAGGAAGAAGGTGATTCCTAACAGAATCATTCTGAGTTGCGAATCGTGATGAATTCTGCAAAATTACTGTTCAGACTTTTGATGTTCTGTGTTCTGAGACTACGAAGTACCTTTTCTATGTTCTTTTCCTATTTCAATAGATTTCCCCCCCCAGACATTTAGGAGGAGGTTCCCCAGAGAGGATCCTGGGCTGAGAGCCATGGAAGTTCTACCTGGCTTGTCTGCAAACAACACTTGGTACGTTTGCGCTGGCACATACTCCCTCTCTGGGTCCTCCTGGACCATATTGGGGGACACTTGTAACTCTTCTTCCCCCACTCCAGGCTCCTGGCATCCAGCCAAAACATCCACCAACTCCTCCTGTGGATCTTTCCTGGCTGCACGTATCAGAATCCCGCTCCATCAGGGAGATTTCTGATACAGTTCAGCTGGGGGTTTCAGCTGCTTCACCTTGACCTTCAAGCAAAATCTTACTGACCTGCACAGGCATTCCCACGGAGGCAACATTTTTCTTAGTTCTGGGCTGTACCTCTTCCTGTTCTAGGGTATGGGACTGCACTGGGCTGCAAACCATTAAAGGATTAGCAGAGGTGGGACCAGGAAGGAAGGAAAGGATGTATGTGCTTGTGGGCTGGAATGTGACCTGCACACAACCAGCATGAATGAGGAACCCCCAAATCAATCCACAGCTCCTGCGTGAGCACTGTTTGCTATTTCAAATGTAATACAAGCTGGGAATCCAATCACAGCAAAACCAAATCATTCCGATTCAGCTCTCTAATGTAAACACACCGTTAGTGGCTCATCAAGAGAAATGTTTAGCACCAGGAATTCTGCCCTCCTAAGGATGCTCAAGGATCCCAAGCAAGGGATCAGGAGAGGAAGCCCAGCATTAACACCCAATCACCTGACTGGTGATAAAGAACTGGTAAGATTAGCGCTTTAGTACAACATTGAAAGAAGCACTAGATATTCATGTCCATTTAGATCAGAGAGACAGGAAGAAGAAGGTAAATCAGGGGGTAGAAGACGAGCGATGGGCAATTAATTTCTATAGGGGGGGCCACATGAAAAATCTGAACTGTGTTCGGGGGCCGAACCAACTTTACTTTAAAATAAAATGGAACAGTGATGTTATGATTGTTTTTATTTTAAACTTGTTAGTCTTCACAAATACTAAAGAGGTTTTTTGCAGTATGTTAAGGATAAGCAACTGATTAACTTTAGACAAAAAGCTATAAATGGTTTTAATGTTCAAAACTGTCCGCGGGCTGGACAGGAGCGGCTCTCGGGCCGCACTTTGCCCAGGTCTGCAGTAGACCATGAGGGAAGACCCTCGGGCCCCACTTTGCCCAGGTCTGCAGTAGACCATAAGGGAAGAAACCTTATTTTCCTCTCCACCTATTTACCTGTCATGCTGCTTATATAGTGAGTATACTGGGGTTTGGGGGGTTTTTTGGTTTGTTTTGCAGGAAAAGTAGCACACTTAACCACAGAGGAACCACTTCAGAATGTTTTAAAGTGTTCTTTACAAATTATGAATGCCAATGAGGTATACAGTATTTCAGACAGGAAGGGAGAATGTAAAAGCTAACAACACACCTGTCTAAGGAGAAGGAGCATGCAAGGTCTGCCCTTCTATTGATGTTTTTGTCACCCTCAGTCCACATATAGAGGACTGCCAGTTAACATGTGGGCTGGAGCCCACAAAAGCTTATGCCAAATACAACTTGTTGGCCCTTAAGGTGCCGTAATCTCTCTTGTTTTTGCTTCAACAGGCTGGCACAGCTACATTTCTGCATGTGGAAGGTGACAGTCAAAACAGGATGTGCGATTGGAGGCCCACCACTAAATCTGGAACCCAGTCTTCACAGGCAGCAGCAGAAGCTCTCCTCTTCAGACGGTCATCACCCATATGTATAGGGCAAACTGTCTAGATGAGCTGGGCTACTTAGTCCCTCTTTCTCTCAGCCTGACCTACTTCATGGTGATGTTCTGAGGAGCCAGTGTGGAAGAGGAGACTTGCACGGGGGGAAAGTAGGAACTCTAAGAGGAGCTTAAGCTCCTTGGAGGAAAAGTGTAATATAAATGCGACAGATAATAAAGAAATGGCCCTCAGTAAAACTAGATCTCAAAGCTGATGTTTTAATTCAGGAAGGTGATTGCTATACAGGCCAATTACCTATTTCCTATAGAATCTTCTGTGTCTTTTACACATGGACAGTTGGCTTGGCAATTGGTTTACAGAAATCTAGGCATGTGATGATGAAAGTGATGGCCTTCCTTTCTGGCTTCTGGAACCCTACCAGATGTGGTCCTTTCTTCCAAGTAGCAAGGGCTGCTTGCCGTGGCTTTGTTCCCTGCACAATTTTGAGAAGATTATCATTGCACTTATTTGACCATTAGTGTTGTGAGGCAATCCCTCTCAGATCCTTAATTTAAAGGGGAGGGAGGTTTAATAAAGGAAACAAAGCAGCTTTTAATACAATCAAATCATGTGTAGCCTTACCAGAAGTACATCCAACTGAGTGTGTTGGGACTTATTCCCAGATGAGTATGTACAGGGCTAAGACTACTATTACAGTCGCGGGGGGGGGGCGTCCCTAATGAATCACAGTAACGTAAAGCCTGCCCTTTCCCCATGTAACAACATGAAACAAAAACATACCTCTTTCTTTTTCACCTTCTTGCTAACCCAAATTTTCTTCTAAATAGATTATGAGCAAAAAAAATTATTAATCTCAATATTTTGCTGGAATAGAGGTAACACTATATAAGGTATTAAATAAACAATACCATTCCAAGTTTGATGCAGAGGCTGAAAACCGCAGCATAGTTATCATCTTTTGGTGAGTGATTTCTTGAAATGATTCAGAAGCACACACACACACTTTTTTTTTTGGCAAACGTGTTTAGAAATGACTTGCACAACACCCACCTTGATGTATTTCAAGACGCTTCCTGGCTGAGGGATGTTAGGAACTGAAACGCTCTGTTTCTTCATCTGCATCTACCGGCTTCTGGGTTCACTGAGGACAAGCAAACAGGTGGTAGCTTTGACTAATAGCAATTCAGGCACAGCACCAGCCCCTGTGTCTGAGTCACTGTCATTGTCTATAGGGGCTGGACTACTGTGAGAGTTTGTCTCTACGCTATACAGTTAACAGCAGTTTTAAGTGCCATGGCTCCGTCCTATAAAATCTCAGGATTCACACTGTGTGAAGCACTGAGAATTCTCTCTCTCTCTCTCAGGGTGCTTTTGTGCCCTTCGTTGGACTTTGTTAGATAAATTCTCTATCAGAAGAGTTCTCAAAATTCTGAGCAGGGCCCCAAGCTTGTAGGTTCCAGAGCTCTATGAGATGGATCTGTGGCAGCCAAAGCGGTATCAAACTGCTATAATTTTGCGGGATAGATGCAATTTGTGTCCGGGGGAGGGGGAACCTTGATAAAAGTAAACAACAATTGTAATTATGTACTGTCAAGTCAATACTGGTTTGCCACTTCCCTTCTTCTGGGGGGCACTTTCCGGGAATATGCAGCTTGCCCAAGGACACCCAGGCTGGCTCTACTCTCTGGAGGCACAGTGAGGAATCGAACTCTCAGAATCTGGCTCTGCATGCAGATACCTAACTTATGGAGCTATTTTTCTCTGTCTCCACAACTCTCCCTCCACCCCATTCTGTCAGCTTCATCTCTCTTCCTGCCCCCATCTTGTAGGCAGATCACACTTGCGTGAGCCTGAATCGGTAATTTACAGAAGGCAGTTTGTGAGCCTTGCCATGTAGGATCGTTCTTCCACAAATTGCTACTTGAGCCCAGAATTGAGTTTACTTTTCACAGAGGTTTCTGGGAGCAGCAGGGAAATCAAGAATTTTAGCTCTGCTCCTGCTTTAAAAAGCAACCCATGCCCCCTGCTTGCATTTCTGTACATTTCTAAGGCATGTGCCACAACCTTAAGCCTTTTGAACCACAGATCTATGGCAAAGAGCAACTAGCCAGCAAAAACCACAGTGAGAACTGAGGTCCTTTGGTCAGGAAGCCAACTGGAAGCAGGGCTTTGGCAATCTAGCAATGCTCAGAGGGTGTTACTATTTCCATTTAGGCACATGTTTATCCTTTTGTGAAACTCACCAAACTTTGTTCTTTGCTGGGATGGAAAAGCAATTCTCATTAATCAAAAACAACAACAACAACAACAGTAACAACAACAACAGTAACAACAACAACAACAACAACAACAATAATAATAATTTCATCCAATTTTGATGGGAAATAGAAAGACACACATTCATTTTTTTTCCAATTCCCATTATTGAGTGGGAACAATGGACATTGCTTTTTTTGTGCGTTTGTTTTTAGACTGTACCTAATTAAATATGTGCATCAGAAAGGCATGCCTTTCAAAAAAAATGTGCACATCCTTTAGTCATTAAAAAACAACAGAAATGCATACACTAATTTCATTTAAAATGCATACTTTGGGGAAAGTGCATGCTCAAATTCCCATGAGTTTCTGGGTGAGGGCAGAAAATAACAAAGGGGATGATAAGACACGCAGCTTGCTAGTTACTTGGTTTGCTTTTGGTGCACTTTGGTTTGCCCTGTTTTCTAGCAACCACACGTATTTTAAACAAAAGCAACCCATCCCACCTCTTTTGAAAGCTGTTCCGATCTTACCTGGCACAGTGTTAGGGCTGCAGTTTATTTGGTGCGATTGGAAGCACTCCTGATTATCCCATCCTGCAGTCTGTGCGGTTGCTTGGTTTGCTCCCAAATAAAGCTGTGGGCATCATTCACTTCAGTGACAGCCCTGTGATGTACGTAGTGGGTTGTGACAGTACAAAGGATGGCGAAGGAGCCTCCTCCTCTAGTTTCCTCTTCCCACAATGTTTTAAAACATTATTTTAAGTGACACAGAGTGTTTCAGATATAAAACAGTATCCATACTAGGTTGATGGAGCCGTAATGCTATGCCACTTAGTAAATTAAACAACCATGGAGAAAGGAGAGAAGTCACCACAGCTCATGTAAAAACAGCTAGGACAGAAGGTGGGGAAAAGGGCAGAGGATGGGCCCTTAGTAATGGAAAAAGGGAGCGATCTGAAGTGCTGTCTGGATCTTTGTCAGGGAGGAAGAAATATCTGCAGTGTGAATGGAAATATTCCTCACAGGCAAGATAAAATAGATTACATTGAAAATAAGAGTATTTTAAATGTGACCTGGATCGCTCCAAATTTCCCCCTCTGATCATGCCCAGAGTCTCACAAACAAATTCAAAAAAGGACAGGAAGAAAACAAAGGTTAAAAGAAATATAACTTACAGCTTCAAAAAAGGACAGGAAGAAAACAAAGGTGAGGTTAAAAGAAATATAACTTACAGTGGTGCCTCGCTTATCGGGCGCTCTGTTTAGCGATGAAATCGCTTAGCGATGACTTTTTCGGAGTGTTTTTGTGCTTCGTTTAGCGATGGTCCCTATGGGCGATTTTCACTTAGCGATGGTTGGGACCATGCTTCGCATAGCGATTAAATTTTGGGTCCCCTGTTTCGCTTAACGATGATTTAAACAGCCTCATGTTTTCTGTTTTTTAAATGTTTTTCTGTTATTTATAAACTTAAACTTTACTGTTTAAAATGTTTGAAATCATAAAGTGCACTTAATAAACCCTTTGTTAACCAAATTTGACTTTGTTCTGACTCTTTTTTAATTTGTTGTTGTATTTTTTCCCCCATTGAGATGCACTGAATAGGTTTCAATGCATTTCAATTGGGGAACCGTGTTTCGCTTAGCGATGTTTCCTATGGCGATTTTCGGTTAAGGATGGCAATTCATTCCTATTGGAATGGATTATCCAGTTTTTAATGCATTTCAATGGGAAACCGCGTTTCGCTTAGCGATGAAATTCGGAATGAATTAACATTGCTAAGTGAGGCACCACTGTAGTAAGAGTTTCTCTTCCCACCTGCTCAACTCCACTGTCTAGCAGTTCCCATGTATTAAAGACAAGGATTATGCTCAGACGCTAACGGAAAAAAGCAACAGGAAAATACAGCTTGAGAAATACAGGTTCCAGAATGGATATTGAGCAAATAACCTCAAAGGCTCTTCTTTTAATTGGTGTTCTTAAGAATAGCCCCATGAAGTGCAAATTGAAAATTGAGCTCAGGCCTTTCATTGCTCTTTCAACATTCCATAAATACCACAGGCTGTGATATTGTGCCTCTGTATATCCTACTATAGGAACTGCTCCATATGCCTTTGTGTGGCCAGATCAAAACAAGGGATTGCACTTCAGACATTTCCCACAGGGTGGTATGGATTTTTGAAGTCATCTGTTATTCTACACTGATGATCCAAGATGCAATGACGACTAGATTAGCATGTCACTTGAATGCTAAACCAGTTTATAAATCACACAAAAGACATCATACTTATGACTATCAGTTTTGTATATTGGAAAAATAGAAACCTCTCATGGTGCCCTTCATATTCGGTAGTGTATAAATCCATGTCAGACATTGTCTCCATAGGCAAATAAAACCATGGTATATGCAACAGCGCTCTCTCTGTTATTGGAAACAGACTGTATATTTAAAAATATAAAGAAGGATTAGGGAATAAATGGCCTTACATATATTGTTTCCTGGCTGTGGAGCTAGAGGTTGGGAGTTCGATTCCCCCACGGTGCCTCCTTGAGAGGGGCTGAACCTGATGATCCACAGGGGTCCCTTTCAGCTCGGCAGTTCTAAGATTCCCTCCATTTCCTATGAGCCTTAGCTAGTCTGCTCCAGTGCTGAGGTATGATGTAAATTCATCAAAATCTGGAAAAGAGAGGAGTCCTCATCCCTGAGACAAAAGCTGTTGAATATCCAAGGACTCATAATTCACCCAGTAATACCAGTTATGGAACATAATGTGTTCCGGTCTCATTGAATGCCACAACAACAACAACAACAAAGATTAAAACACCTTGCATTGATTTATGGAGGAAACATTATGTTATGATTCCAAAAGAAAACAACAGGTGAAAGCAAGCACAAGAACAATACAATTACATGAAACCCCACAATCCCACCTCAAAACATGTGTAAACAGTGGTCTAATATGCAGTGTTAAAGTAGGCATCATCATATTTTGAGGTATGAGCTTGTCGTCTTCCTTTGGAGGCCAGACTTGTTTATCCTTATCTGGACCATTCAGAAATTACTCAAAACGAAGCAAAATAGTACGGAAAAGAAAGCATTCAAGTAAGGAATATCATTGTATAGATGATGGAAGACTTGAAAGCTTCAACTGCTAAAAGACATTGGCCAAAATTCAGTTGAAAACAGCAACAACAGCGGGGGGGGGGGATGTGTAAGGCAGTCACGCAATGTTTTTTTCCCTCCTTCTGTTGTCTCCTTGTCATGCAATTCCTTCCTTCCATGGAGTCAAAATCCTGTTTCTTTTGGCTCATCCCACCTCCCCATATCTGCCACCCTAGTCCGTGACATTTTGCTGCCTGAGGCAGAGCAGAGCAAATGGGCTTCCCAACCGTTTGACTGAAGCTGAAATCAAGAGACTTCGGCAGCAGGCCTAATAAGTCCTTCTCCCCAATCTCCCAACAGTGCAGAAGTCTCCTGAAGACTGAATCTGTCACGCTTTCATGATGTAAAAAAATCTGCTGTCTGAACTGGCTTCCTCCCTCTGCGGAAGCGTAGGTTGGCCCTGTCTGTCTCTGAATTGCTTTTGTCCCTTCAGGTGTAATTACAAAGAAGGATTTGTGTATAGTTTGCTATCCAGTCAAATTTCTAGCTCTGAAATGCACCTTAATTTTGTTTTCATTTCCCCCCTTCTAAGAGTCTTAACAAACAATTACTTCTGGAGTCACTAAGGCTTAGAAGGGAGATGCGGGCTGAATGGCAATGAGCAACCCACAGAACAATTAGATCTGCTACATCTAAAATCTGCTTGACTCATTGTCTTTGTATCTCGACAAATGTTATCTGTAGCTATTGATTCATTTCACCAGTGCCTGCAGAGGAAGCGAAAAGGTTATGACTTGTTTGACAAGTACATTGTATTGCTTTGCACGGAATGTAAATAGGCAGGGCTTCTTGTTGCAGAATCATTAACCTAAGTGACCATGAAAATTAAGTACAGAGGAATGCGATTTACACATGACATTCACTGAAATATGAAGCTTTTAGAGATGCCTTCCTTTAGAGCAGGGCTGGGTAATCTGTGGCCATGCAGAGGGTTATGGGTTCTATATCCCATCAGCCCCAGACCCCCTAGCCAATCAAAAGAGAAAATTTATTTATTTAATTTATATGCTGCCCACACTACCCAAAGGTCTCTGGATGGCTTACAGCAATTTGAATGCAATAAAAATTAAAATACAATTAAAAATACAGTGCTTTAAAAATTGCCATCAGGACCCACATTTGATATTATTTCAATTAAAAACCTTCTGGAACAGAAAGGTTTTGACCTGGCACCGAAATGTCATCAATGTCGAATCTGACTCAGGGTAGCATTCCATAGTCTGGGGGCAGCTGCTGAAAAGGCCTTTTGTCTACAAGCCCTCCCTCTTACCTCCTTGAGGGATGGCTCTTTCAAAAGGGCCCCCTGGTTAGATCTTAATTGCCGGGTAGGTTCATATGGAAGGAGGCGGTCCTTCAGGTATCCAGAATGGGAGTACTAGTTAATCTGCATGTTACTCAGCTCTGATTTAGAAAAATAAGCATGCATATCCACATCAGAAAACCTATTGATGTTTATTCCTCTTTAAATCTCTTGTGGAATAAATCATATGCCAGTGATTTCCTGAACTGCTTCTTCTTCTGTCCTCCCATAGAAAAACACAGTTCATCTTATGAAACAGGGGTTCCCAACCTTGGGTCTGCAGATGGTCTTGGACTGCAACTCCCCAAAATCCTGGTCAGCACAGCTAGTGGTGAAGCCCAAGAAGAAACATCTGGGGCCCCAGGGCTGGGAACCACTGTTATGGAAGAAAGCAGAGTTTGCATGTGTTATTAACTCACAATGGTGGTCTCACACCTTTCCAGACAAGGAGCTGGGAGAGGTGGGATGAAATGGACCTTCATGGATTTGAGTTGTCACCTGATGTAGAGAGTACTGGGGAAAGCTTTTTGAAATGGGGAGAGTGGGAGGGTGGGATATGTCTGGGAAGAAACAGCCACATGGTTCCCCATGCTACTGTAGGTCAAGATGCAACACGGGCAGGTTTTGAAAAGGTTATTTCTTGGAGAACAAGACCCAGAACCTCCTAACCAGCAGAGATATTGGCTATCCTTGCTGGGATGCTGGTGGTGTGGGGAATTTTGGTCCAAAAAAAGTAACTTTTCCAAGCTATGAGTAGGTGTTTTATTTAAGCAGGGGCAATACTTCCATGTTTCAGATCCCCAGATTCCTCAAGAGCATTGATGGACTGCAACTGGGTCAGCAGATGCTCTGTGAACTTTTAGGGTGAGGCACACACACACACACACCGTCTCAGTTCACAAGCTCTTAAAGTATACTGCTTTTTGTTTTTGGCAACTTCTTCTTCAGTGTCTTGGTGCAAACCTTACTTTCAGTTCTGTCCCTGCTTCTGGCTGGGATTCAGCTCTGTCGATTTATGGAGGGGCATGGTCCTATCTGTGGGCCAAAATGGTTGCATGGAAATTTCTTTGCCCAAAGGCCATTGAAATATGATTTTTAGTAAACTGCTGAAACTTGTGATGCTACCCCGCAACTCTTGCCAGATATGGGAACCAAGTAAAACTTGGTTCTCATTCAGGCATGAGTGAAAACTAAAATGCTGTAGGTCTCAGCTGCTTCATAAAGACACGATAACATCTGCAGATAATGGAAACATTGCTTTTCTTGCTGTTTCATCGTTACACTGTAACAATTAGACAACGTGTATGAGGTAAGCTGTACATAAATAATAAACCCCCTCAGACTGTTGCTTCTGTCTTTTTGATTAGAATGCCTTAATTAGGGTTATTTATGCACACAAGCTAAGTAGCACTCTTTTCAAAGGGTGACAGTATGCAAGATTTTTCCCTCTGTCTATCCACCCT